TTTGGAGATTCGACCCGGTGTCGGCGGAGAACGAGCAGAATGGGCGGAGAACAGCCATGAAAAACGAAGACGTTGTAAGCAGAAGCTTGGAGAAGCTTTGGTCGCCATCAGAGGTGTGTTTCCGTTGCCATACCTCAAGCTTGGTGAAGCAGCAAAATCGGTGGAAGAAGCTCTCAGAGGCGTGTTGTGAGTTGTGACAGCTTCACTTCATTCAGACTTCATGCTTCCAATGCATTAGTTTGATTCAAGCAAATGTGAAGTAAGAACTATATGGCCTTACTAGCCTTACTGGCTTGGTGCCGCTGAAACAGCTCACTGAGAAGTTGCGCAAACAGGCCCTTTTTCATTCAACTTGCACTGAATCACATGCATGAAGATTGAAACGGTGCTCCATCCGGTTTGAGATCAGGTCATCGAACCAATCCGTTTTGTGAAGGATGGCTTCCGATCAATCTCATGGCACGACCTCTCCTGCCTTTGACAGGAATCTGCTACGTGAGACGATGCTGCAAAATCTGGCCACAGAAGCAGGGAAACAGCTCTCCACAAACACCCACCACAACCATGTGGGCCGTCCACTCTCCACACAAAAAAAGAGAACATCACCGCAACAAGCACAAGCTTTGCGCACAACCAAAAAGCAAATTGACTCAGGAGCAATAGGAACTCGGCACAGATCGATGTCTGACCCATGAATCACTGGCTTCCATTGTGGCACTAGAGATTGCTTGCCATTGTGCCCTGCAGATGCTTGTGACCGCGGCAGGCTTTCTTTTTGAATCGTTGAAAACGAAGAGCAGAGAATTTTCCAAAATGTGTTCGCAAGCTTCAGGAACGACAAATAAATCGACTATAGCGGAAAACAAAGAATGTTACTCAGGAACAGAAGCTACAGTACTCAAATCCAGAAACTGAATTTCTGGGTGTCTGAAGCTTCTCAATTCTCAAATAATTCTCAATGGACTTTTCTTCAACATTGAGATCTGAAAACACAGGTCACTCGTCGCTGCAAGTCTACCAGAGTCTACCAGCAGGTCTCCAAGAGTGACCGGTCGTGGTGACTGAAACGTCAGCGACCCATGTGAACGGCCAAACGACCAAGGCCTTAAGATGGTTCTGTTTCACCCACGCCATCGCCAAGGGATTCATAGTCTTCAATCGCCTCCATCGGTGCAAATCAGGAGATACGCTGTGAACTCCCCGCCTTTCCCATTTCGAGATCAATTACAAACCTTCCAGTACAACAATCGGTGAAAACCGAACACCTTCGAGACACGCTCTTTCATGAATGCTTGCGTGATGATGTTTTGCGAAACCAAATGTTGTATCTAGTTACTGCCTTGAGACATTGTGAAAGGCGAGGATCTTGCAGGGCATCAAAGAAACGTAGTAGAATAACAAGGAAGCTACTAGTAGCAAGGACGCGATGCTCGGTGGAGGCCATCACAAGTAGGTTGTAGGAGCAAGAAGCTACTAGTCGCTTTTTGGGTCTCAAGCCGCGAAGACTGGCCTGAAGGCAGAGGAGTGCAAAGCCTCGGGCCTCTCGATGACTGGCGATTTGCCGCACCAGCACCGAAGGGCTTTGGACCTGGCGCACCAGTGGCCCCGGACTGTGCGGGGAGGTTTCCGGTGTCAAAGATCCTTCTTGGATGACCTGACCTAGTTATAAGGGGTATGGGTATATGACCTGACCTATAGTCCCCTGGCCCCAACACACCTAATTCGTTGCACCAAGAAGGACAACGAATGCTGCGGAGCTCCCAGAACTGGCCCGTCCGTCTCTCGGTTCCGAGCTCGCCTCTGGAGGCTCTTCGCCCCGCCGTCGGGCGTGCGCTTGTTGAAGCCGGTCCGCATGACACAAGCACATGCGGCAGAAGGCCCGTGCCTCCTTAGGACGAAACCGACACCGTCCGCCAGAGGCGTCGTTGAAGCTTCTTTGGAAGCGGACCGGTGGAAAGCTCTTTTGGGATCGAAGACAAGAAGATGAAGCATATAGGTTCAGGCTGCATCTCCAGATCTCTGCATTTAAATTGTGAACAACTGCTTGACCAACAGCCCAGTCCCAAGCTAGACTGGAAGGGTCTCACATGCCAAGCATCCTGAAACTCTCTTGGGTGCAACGGGAACCTTTAGACGGACTGCCCAGCAACCTTTACAGATTGTTGAAAATCACCACCTCCATGCACCTCTCTACACTCCCCTGCATTCAAAGCATCTTGTAGGGAGCAGCCCTCCTCGAAGCGGGCCTTTCACGCGGGAACCGTTGCGCTTTTCAAACCAATGGGGTGACCTGGTCTCCGGTTTCTCTGCATGACCTGCATCTACATCATGAGGAACACACATTTCGCTGCCAAACTACCTTCAGAATCCAGTTTCCTTCCACCCACCCTGGTAGTCCACTGCTTGTGCATCGATTCCGACCTGACTCATCTTTTTGTGGAGAACGGACAGTGTGACCAGCGAATTCTCTGCATTCGGCAAACGGACGACTTCGGGACTGTCTGATTGGATCCACATGGTGAAGCCTTCTTCTGCGCTGAACTCGTGGGGCACTGGTCTCCAGGTGTTTGGGGATTCCTTTCTTTCAGACGTCGTCCACTGGAGAGGCTTACTTCGCCTGTGCTCGTTGTCGTGATTTCTGGTGCGCCCGTCCTTCTCTTTTTCGGTACACTCCACTCCTCCTCTCCTCCTCCCTCCACTCCTCCTCCCTCCGGGGACTTCCAGTTCACGTGCCTTTCAAACAGGCTTTTCGCTTCCTCGCAGCGAATCGGCTCAGTTCCTCACGTGCCACGTGCTCTCCGCCCTGGCCTTGAGCTCCAGATCTGGTGAGGCCCAGCACAGCTCATCGATGACCTCCTCATGGATCCGACGGTCCAAGCTGCGATCGCTCTCCTGGCGGACCGATCGGAACCGGCGACTCGTTGTCCCCCGTGGTCCACAGAAAAGCACGTTTGTTTCGTTCCACCCCGAATCAGAGATGATCAAAAGCATATTTATGACCATCACTTACATAGCGATATTGAAAGACCAACACATAGTGGTGGTAGTAGCAGTAATCATTGCAATCATATACAGTAACATATGTAACATTCATCCATCATCGATCATCGATCATCGAGCATCGAGCATCCATCATCATCATCATCATTATCATTATCATCATCATCATCATCATCATCATCATCATCATCATCATCATCATCTTCAAAATAAACTGAACACAAATTGAAGGGATAAAACATGTCACGCACAAAACCTGGCCTCACTGCTCTCCACGGTGAAGCCTTCCGAGTCTTCCGAGTCGCTCCGGAGCTGGGAGAGCAGCAGCTCGCGCTGCACGCGGAAGGTCCCGTCGTCCCTGGACACCGTCTCGTCCCGGTGCAGCGCAGTGTGCGTTTGGGTGGGGTGTGTATGACCGTATGACAGGCAGACATCCTGTGTGTATGGCATTTGTTTGTGTTTGTTTCTTCGCTTTGGTCCGCGGCGGCGGAGCCGGACAGGTTTCCACGCGGACACGCGAGCCTGGCAGCTCTTTGGCCCAAGGGTCGCGGAACCGTTTGAAGTCCTCGCTCCTGTGCGAAGCACACCGAGCGAGGCATCTCTTAGGCATCTCTCAAACATTGGGTAAACGCATCGGTTAAACATGTGCATTGGGTAATCTGCATTAACATTGGTAAACTTACCCAAAGCTTTGCAGTCCCCCCCCCAGTCGGGTCCTCTCTGCGCAAGACACCTTCACGGCTTTGCTCCAACCTTGGCAACACCGACTCCACCCAGCGCCATCACAGCCACAGACCGAAAAACAGGCACTCCAAAGCTTCAGGCCATTGGGAAATGCCGTCGGACGTTCATCGAACTGCTATGCCACAGCGGTCTCAGGCCATCTAAGGGCTTTGCTTGGCCACAAGCTCTTTGGCCTTTTGTGCTTGGAGGAGCACTGTCTGAGCCGTCACTGCGTTCTCCTCTGGGAGAATGTGTCTCATCACTCGTTACGTGTTGTTGTCCATTCCCCAAAACCATCAATGCTTGGAATGTTGGCGACTGGCCCTCCGTTGGATGTTTGCGACTGGCCCTCTGGTCATGGTGTGTCAAAAGAGCGAAGAACAAAAACCGACGGTCCTGCATCGAATCTTGCCTTGAGTCTTCACGAGCGCTCGCCATGTTGAAAGACCGATCCGTCGGTTCTCTGGAGCCCAGCGGCCACAAAGAGTGAGAAGGATCGGATGTTCTGGCGATCCCGGTGATCATACCAAATGCGTAGGTGTTTGATGCTGTTGTGCTGGGCTTTAACAGCACCGTCGAGAGAGAAGAAGCATGACAACAACAGTCTGAAGTTAGAAAAAGCTGTCTACGTGTGCATCTACAGCCTAGCCTTCGCCCTAGGATACTGTGGGTATCTGCTTTGCACCTGGTATGACAGATACGTTATCCGTTTGCAACACATCCGTGCAGCGTGCTGCGGACAAACCACGGCGGACACGTAGATCTCACGAAATTCGTGGCACTCGGCCTGGCAACAACCTGCGCCCTTCCGAAGGAGAATCCGCACCAAAAGAATACGCGTATGCAGCATGCACATGTCCAAGAAGTGTTGCTTTCACCTTGTTCCAATCGCGGCTCAACGATGAGAGAACCGAAACAAAAAGCAAGGCATATTGCATTCAAATACCTCCCTGGTCTGGCAGAACAGCATGCCAAACTACTTCTACGAGGCACAGCAGCGCAGTGTTTTAATTCATTCAAAAAGAATGCAAGTGTTTTTGCAAATGCTGCTTGGGGGCTGTTGCCCCGTGCAGCATTCAATTGCTTTCAAGAAGAACCTGTCTCAAAGAACGGCCGTCAGCAAGAAAGGCCTTTGAAGCTCCCTTGCAAGACAGCAATTTCTCTAAATGCGTGTGAAACATGAAAGGGAGGGTAACCCCAACGAAACAGGCCGAGATGAACATGGAATTCATAAATTCCAGGTGGATGTCCATGGTACATGGGGTTCCTTGTTTCAATCAAGAAGGATCACCTTCCGTGCGGCGACGCACTTGAAAGCGGTCCGGCTTCACCGGGTGGTTTGCGATGTCCCACCGGGTTTCCAGTGTGAACAAGTCGGACTTCGTCCTGAAGTCCAAGTTCTGCAAGACCTGAAGAAGAAAATAAGTGGATGCCGAACTGAAGAGAAGATCTACTCGCTGAAAAATACGCGTGGCGCATCCAAACATCCTGACTCCAAACAAATTGCTTTGGCCCACCCCAAACTCTCTGATCAACGAGATGTGTCGCATTGCTTCGCAAAACTGCTTCTCCCACCTGAAAAAGAATGGCCTTCATCTCCAGCATCGCAAAGTGCTGCCCCACACAACTCTTGGGGCCGCTCCCGAAGGGCTGGAAGTACTGCTTCTGCGGTGACACCGCACGTCCGGTTCGATCGCTCGCCGGCTTAACAGGTGACGTCGGGACCGAAGAAGGATCAGAGTCGAGAAAGTCAAGAGCCACGGGTTTCGGGGCATGACAGTCACATGACTTGCACAGTGGTGGGCGAAGTCAAAAAGGACCAATCCCGCCTGTTTGGGGTCGTTGTAGCGCTCCAAACTTACATCTGCCGGAGATGGGAAGTACTCCTTGTCAGGGCCATGGACAGCTTTTCACAACCTGAGAATTCAACGGATGGTAAGGCCATTCTTCCAAGACTTGGGGACCTCATTCAATCATGCCACCGCCTAAGTAGGTTCTTAAAAGGTCTTGTTCTTCCTGCCTGCAAAGAAAGAACATGCCGTGCATCAAGATGTTGAAAGAACTTCCTCATTTGAACAAACAAGTGAAATGCTTCTAAACCCTAAACCCAAAAAGAATCCTCATCCACGTGGAAGTCGCGGATGTTCAATATGAAATGCGTTCCCGCATCCACTCTCAAGATCTGACCGTTCATGAGAATCTCATCCTCCTTCACGGCGGTCCGGAGAATCATTGGGCCAACCTGGTGAGCGCGTCATCGGCGTCACGCGCGCCCATCGGCCGAACGACCGGACAACCAGTGGAACAGCTCCATCACACAGCAAACATCTCTGCAAACACCTCTGGAGTGAAAGAGCTGCAGTAGCTGTAGTGTATTTCCTCTTCATGCGACACTGCGAGGCTTTGGAAAGAAGGCATCCCCGATCGAATCGGAACGCTTTTGGTCTCGTTTGTAAAGATCCGCTGGCAAGTGTGCTGACGCGAACTTTCGCACCTTGTTAGAATATGGTCAAATGATGGTCATTGCTGACGCTTGTTGCTCTTCAATGAAGAATTCTTTCAGAAAAATGTCCAACCCCGGTGAAATCCAACAGTTTCTCAAACACCACCAACACGGTGCACGCAAGTCCACACACCCACAGGTGCTGAATGCCACAACGGCACACCCCCCCCTTTTGTTGAAACAAAACAAAGACAAAATCCTACACAACCACTCATTGCTGGTTCCAAAACGTGTTCTGTGCAACTCTTTACATGCGGATCTTTGTGGGCCGATCGGACCTCGGTCTTGTCTCTGATCGGAGTGAATCAACCCATCGGCTCATGGTCGGACGTGGCCGGCCACCGAGCGAGCGACGCGTCGCAACGCGTCGCAAAACGGTTGCACGCACTCGGTCGCCCAGCGGCGGGTTTCAATCGCATGGGTGCGGCATTTGCGGGTTGACGGCCACCGTGGCTATTGGCCTCGAAGCCGCTATACTAATCAACCCTGCCTCAGGTCGTGGCGGCATGTTTAGCCGCGATTGGATTGCATCAATCATGTTTTGTTCTGATGCCCTCTCTTGTTGGTGCTCAGCCGGTTTGGTCACCTTAGATTTGACTGCCAGTGGCCTTTGCATCTTGGGCCGCGCGGTGGGTTGTGGGACGTCAGTCTCCATCATTTCTTTTTTTCCACGAGTACGGACGCCGCGTGGGCATGGTGCCCAGGTCATCATTGAAGGAAGGGAAATACAGTCAGATGGTGGAGAAAAGGACAAAGACAGCCCAACAACAAAAAACAACCGCCAACCACAGCCCAAAGGCCGAGTCTCCACCATCCTGTAGTCTTTCCTCTGTGCTAAGGTGAAACAAGTGAAACGATGACTACTGACTATCGATGGGCCTGAATTCTCGAACGAAGAGCATGGCAGCGAGGGTTTGTGCTCTAGCAAAGTCTTCAAGAAGTCGTCAAATGGACTTCACATCACAATTACCAGTGACCAGCGGCCACTGCACGGTGTGGCAAAAACATGGTCACGATGCAGGTCCCGAGCATTGATATGCTCTAACGCAGGTTATATCCATATCAAAGTGGATCAGTGGTTGCTATGTAGATCATGCCGTGGAAAATACCTTTCTTGTAGCACAACCCATGCAACTGGTTGCACATACAAGTCAAGAGGCATAGTAGTAGGTAGTGTTCAGACAGTGGCGGCCATAGCGAACGACGAAAGCCTGCAGGTAAGGGTGCGAAAGGCACACCCCCCCGAAGGGAGGTCATCTCGGCACCCTTTGGCACACAGAGGTGCCAAAAGGGATGTCCCCTAACTTCGAGAAGTGCTGCGTCATTGCAAAAATTGTTCAGTTGCGTGCAAGGCCCGTGTGAAACAGGTGAGACATTGAACCTATCCTAGCATGGTATCTGTACCTCTCTGTACAAAATTGGAAATGTCGGACATCAACAGAGGGAACTAAGGTTCCCCCTGGGCATCCTCCATTGCCACTCTCTACCACCCGCCTGTTGGGAACGAGGAGCTAAGGCTCTCATTCCTATTGGCTCACTGTATTGCGAATGGCGAAAGAGATTGGCGACCCTACTTAGTGTTTGCACTTTTCACTTGCCGTAGCTTCCTGGCGGTGTGCTTATACACCATTCCCGCTGCGAAAGCATTGCTGGTCTTTGGTGCAGGTTCTGGAAAGTCTTCTCTCCATAGATCACTGGCATCGGCCGGCAAACCTCGGTGCCATTCGGACTAGTCGAGTTACCCACATTTGTCAAGGGCATATGTCCTTCGCCATGTTTTGCTTTTTCTTTGTTTGCATATCGCTCGCAATTGCGTGCTACCTGCACAAGCGCATGGCGCCATGTAAAGCAGGAGTGGAAGCCTCCTGTAGCGAGGTACACTTGAGGAAGGCTTCTTATGCCGTGATCCTCAGTTTGGGACGGATCAACAGTTTGAGCTGTTGGCGGCTCGCACAGGCGGTGGAGCCTATCCTGTTGAAGTCTGTCGGCAAGGCAAGTGTGACAATGCCCGCCTCCAGAAAGCAGCAATCCGGCAAGCATCGGTTTGGGTGGGCATCGAGCTGTGCTCTCCCTTGTCACGGAGCGACCCTATTCGGAGGCTTCAGTGCCGAAATGCTTGCAACCGAAGCTAGCTCTACTCGTGGAATTTGGCCTACTGTGGCTTCTGGCCTACTCTGGACTCGAGCTAAGGCGCGCGCCCAGACTCTTGATGAGTGACAGTGAGACCGCGTTAGCTGTGGTCAGAGAGGCATGTCTTCATCCAAGACCAGGGGTGTATCCCATGTCCGGGATCATATGCAGCCAGGTTGGCCACCTCATATCTGGACAAATGGCAAAAGCATTCTCTTCAGCATAGACTCCTCGCCATTTGTGCCTTCCTGGCATCTTGGCGAGCCTCTTAAAGGCAGTGCAATCCAAGAAGGCCCTACTTCCAATATATTTTAGTGAGGGCGGGATGGCAAGCTCAACAAGGGCTGCACAGTTCATAAAGGCTTTAACTCGAATTGTATGGAGAGTAGACGGAAGGAGAACTTCTCTGAGGCTAGCGCAGTGCACAAAGGTGAATTCCGGAATTTCTTCAACGTTGGTGTTGCAGAGGTCAACCCTCTTAAGCAGTCGGCAACTGTCACACGCATGCGCTCCAATAGCTGTAAAATACTTCGTGAGAGCAAGTGTGGTGATTCCCGTAGAGCTAAGACAGCCTGGCGCCAGCTCACTGGTCCCGGCCTGCAGGATTGACCCTCGGGGGGATGGAAGCTCACTCAAGGTAAACTCAGCAAGGTTGATGCACCCTTGAAAGAGATAATGCCCGAGCTTGGCTTCGCCGCTGAACCTATTTGCAACCCCGTCCGATGCATACACCCATTGTAAGGAGCAGCATTCCGCAAAGGCTTTGTATCCAAATTCCCGGCAACCAGGAGCCGAGACACTGTTTAGTAGTTTGCAGTCGCGAAAGGCATTATCGGAAATGCCGACCACAGTGGCCGGCAATTTGACAATGCGGAGCTGCCGACAATTTTGCCACGCCGCTGCCTCGATGAGCCTGATACCTGACTCTACGCTGACATGCCGCATACGCGGAACTCCTGCAAAAGCCCCTTCCGGGACGATTTCCTCTGGGTTCATGGGGACATGAACAGCAAGCGGAACATGATGGATAGGGCATCCTTCAAGTTGCTCCTGCGATGGCAGGATTACACTGCTATCCCTGAAGACAATAGTGTATGCCGTGCTTTGCTGTAGCCTGTCCCAGATTGGGTCCTCTAGGTATGTCTGCGTGGCAGTTTGCAGAAAGTCGATGGAGCACCCAAACACTTTAAGGTCAGTAACTGAGACCAGATAGTCCATAACCTGGTCCTCTAGGTCCTCAAATCGATCAAACTTTGCCACACTGAGAGAGACCTTGATAGTCACCCCCGAGAGCGTTGTCAGTACCAAGGAGCAGTCCATGACCGGCTCCCTTTCAGGGGGAGTGCTAAGCCTGGATGAGTCGTCGAGCTCTATGTGTGGCAGACTACTTTCATTTACTGTTTGAGCCAAAAGCTTCTGACTCTGCTCATTGACTGTTCATAGGGCCGGGGATGTTTCCTAGAGACAGATGCTAAGGCACCCACCTTGAACCTCACATGGACTGGCCTGATGTTAGGAAAATTCGTTATATAGCTCTTCGTCAAAGGCATCCGAATCGGGTCCTTCAGCAGGGAGCAGCTCCACCCACAGGGGTTTTTCAAATTTGTCACACATAAAGAAAGCATTGTGCTCTGCCTGCACACACTGTTCAATATCCCCCCAATCCAGGGGAGTAAACCGTTGCAGTTGCTCACACCCGCAGAAAGCACGGATGCCTATGTCGCTGAGCTCTGTCGGGATGACCACTTCTTGGAGCACAACACAATTAAGGAAAACTTCTTTGCCAATTTGCGTTAGTCGCGGTGGAAGCCATATGCAATTTAGAGCTACACAGTGGGCAAAGGTGGAGTGGAGTAGGGCTGTGATTTCTGTGCACATGAGGTTGACCTCCACAAGTCCTTTGCAGTTTTCACAGGCCCGCGGCCCGATATTGTGAAAGTCACCTGGCAAACAGAGCTGTTCAATGCCTGCTCCACAGAATGCGCCTTCAGGCAGCGCTCGAGGTTTATTGGTGTGGTCCATGACAAAGGTGATGGATGTAAGTGTGAGGCAACTCTCAAATGCATATCTGCCTAGCTGTGCCCCTGGTGCAAGGACATTACTGTCATCCGTTTCGTGACTGACACCAACTCGACCAAGGGAGCAGCACTCCGCAAACACTTTTCGGCTGTACTGGACACACCCCGGGGCGGCCACCTCTCTCAGCACGTAGCACCCCTGGAAGGTCCCATCTTCAAGACTTACGACAGAGGGTGGGAGCTTGACAATTTGCAGTTGCTGACAACTCTGCCAGGCTGAGCTACTACTGTACCTTCTGCTTGGATGTTCCCTTGCTCAAAATTGCCGAGCGCCGTTGCTAGCCTGGTATAGCCCACGCCGAAACGTCCGTATCCCTTGGCAAAGGCGTAGTTGGGTTCTGCTGCCATGTCCTCTTCCTCAGTTGCTTCCTCAGTACCAGCTTCTGGTGGTTCAGCAGTCCCCACTGGCACCGGGAGCGCAAACCTGGGCGATCGCTCAGCTGACCCGGTAGCATCAGAGGCAGAGTCCTCTTCTGCAGGCAAGTCTGCAGAGGGGTGTCTGGCAGTTGCCAGGTCTCTCCA